AAGTTGTTGAACACTTTTGAATAAAGAATATTTTACATAGATTAAAAAACAAAAATTCTGATAAGAGTAATGTTTTAGTTAGAATCGACAGTTCTTTCTGTCAATAGACATTTTGTGCTTTTGAATGTCAGTTCAAAATCTGTGTGTTAAGAAACGACACTTTTCAAATTTACAGAAATTTCATATATCACTTCCATCACGGATATATCTGTAAATATGTTTAATCAAATTTGTATGACCATTTTTCAAATTAAAGGTATAGAATTCTTGTATAAATTATTTAACAATCAATAGTACTGTAAGTATTTAAATTCTATTGAATATAATAGTTATATATGTTTTAATTAAATAAGAATTTCCATACATTTCATCGTGGAAATTGTTTATCGATATGTGTCAGGAAAAGGAATGTTACATTTGTACTGTAATGTTTTCGTAGTAAACTATTTTTTTAATCCTTTTTATTTTTTGTTAAAATAATATTACCATACTAATGAATAACTATTTCTAGATGCCTCGTATGTGCTGTGTACCTGATTGCATTGCAAAATATATATCCAGTGTCTATATTTAAGTTTTCACAGGATTTGATTCGAAAAGCAAACCAATGAATTAGAGAATTTGTAGAAAAAATAACTTATTATTTAAAATGTTTTAACAATTATGGATTAAAAAGTATGAATTATGTTTAGGTGAAAATATATTGTTAACTAATCTGCATTTCCACTTAGCATATTCTGTTGTTATATAGGCCTATATATAAAACATTAAATACACGTTTCTGTAAGGTTAAAAATACTGTATTGTCTAATAAAGAATGTAAAAAAAAAAACATAATTTGCAATTTACACTTGTTGTTTTTGATTATTTTATTATTGTAGTAAATGTACAAAAATGCTTTATTGAAATGAAAAACAGATAAAAGTTACTTCTTGATGTTTAAAACACTTACAACATTAAAATCTTTGATATCATGTATTTAGTTTAATTGAAAATTTTGCAATAATTTTAACATTAATGTCAATACACACAAGAGCTAGTGAAATTATAAATAAGTGCCTTTTATCGAGTTTTAGATGAAATGTCTATAATTATAACGTCTGCCCGCTCTCAAAACTCTTACAAAGTTTAGGCTAATTGATCAACATTTCCAGTAGGTTGACGTCATTCAGCCGACCAATCAGCGCGTTGTGCCATCTGGATATTTAGTCGCACGTATTTGGACACGGCTAACTTAAATATAGACAC